GAGAAACACTTGATGGTCTGTCTTTCAGCTGAGCAGAGCAAATACGCTGGGAATAATGTGGCATATACATTACACATTCCTGAAAGAAAGAAAGAAAGAAAAACCTGTGCATATAATCATTGCCATGCTCTTTAGCAGAGGTTGCCAACATGGTGCCCCCAAATGCCCATCAGCCCTTGCAAGCACATCCAATAGGATTGACAGCATTTTAGTGTACGTTCTCTTTTCCTAAAGCACACATTCTTTCCCCATCCAGTTTTCTTTACATACAAATTTCTGCAAGCAGTTTCTCTAGATATTATGCATTTTCACATGCTGTTATTTTCACTGATATATGCACACTTGCTCTGAATGTATGCATTTTTCGTTTGGAGAATTGCAACACGAAATTCAGAGAATTGTGCATGTTGAAGGATAGTTGCATTTTAGTTCACATATTGTTTCAGGGAGTGCAAATTAGGCAGGTATTTGCCTTACTTAAGGTATTTGCCTTAAAATGTGAACGGAACTTAATTTTTCTCCCATCCATAGATTTAGTGGTATATGTTTCTTTGGCAAATGCAATCCCACCTGGCCTGCTGTGCTGGGGTCTACCTGTAATTCCATTGTGGAATACTGGGAATTCAGAATTTATTTGTTACCCTGGAGTCCTCAGGATGCTGCTGACACACAAGTAGAATCATCCGCTATTACTGGTGTGGCAGAATGTGGACCTGCTCAGCTTGCAAGTCTTTAGCAAGCCACTATCTCCTGGCCTTTGTTGCCCATTTATAAAATGGAATTGATAGTTATGTACTTTACTGACAGGGTGTTGTTGCTTTTTAAAGGAGGAGGTGATATTTAGGTATTTAATAATGTGCAGTTTAAAATATCTTAGGTGAAATTACACATAGTGTTTGTGCGCTTTGAAAACGTGCTCTCTGATACATGACACTTCCTGCTACTAGCTAAAAAATAAATAAATTATGGCTTAGTGGTTCTGTTACTACAGCTAACCCTGCTCCAGATAGCATGGAGGTATTCCCTCCTTTACTACAGTAAACATGATGTCCATAGATACTTTCTCAGCCAGAGTAGATTTCTTATTAGTATCCTTGGCAATGCCCATCATCCTTTGGCTTGGTACAACAAATGAATCAAATGATACATCTAACAGTCAAATTTCAGCCTGAACAATGGAACTCTGATTGTATCAAATACGGAACTACTGCAGAGCCGGGAAATTAAGGATGATTGCTCCCCCCACCCCTCGTCCTGCTGCACCTTTGCATATTCATGCCCATCTGACAAAACGGCAAGGCAGTTGCCCATGGTAAATGCATGGTGTGTTCAGATGAAGAGAAGCAAGAGGTCTTTTTCCTCCAAGGATTCTCTGATCAGATGAATTACAAGCATGGATGGCAGATGTCACATACGCAGCCAAATGCTCTTTGATAAAAGAAATGGCGTCTGAGACCTTCAGATGCATTATGCATAAACAAACGATCACCTCTCCAACGATGGCTGAACACAGATACGTAGTTAATTGTCTTCAAAGTAGGCAGTGAAGCTTGACCTGTTGTTCTGCATGCAATATCAGTCTTCCTTATCTGTTCCTATTTTCAAGCAATATGTGCATCCATAGCGGTTTATTCATGTCTGTACAGTGAATGTATGTTTTGGTACATAGGACAATGAAATGTGAGCAAAGTCAATAACCAACATGAAATGGCTAAAATGGATCTCACAGACCAGCTATTGACCATCATTGCAGAGAATTATTTTAGGGCTTACTGTCACTAAAGCCATCTGTACAGTATTTCAGGGTGAGGAATATGTCAAGCCAGATCTTAAGTTGCATTTAGAGAGGAATAGTTTGTTTGTGGATGAGAGCAAAGGTTCCTGTTTTGCTCTTATTATATGCATCAAAGGTAGACATTAGTTTAATTCCTGCTATACTATTTTAAAGAATTGTGGGAAACATAAAGGAAAACAGGAAAGCTACAAGAGTTGTCCTGAAACTTGGCATTCAGTAGAGACAATAAAGGTTGTTTTCATTTACAAATTTATTTCAGACTATTCATTTCCACAGATCTTTGGAATGTTTTCAGCCCTATAGCCTTAAGAAACCTTTCATGTGATACCAAAGGCTGAAATACAGCATGTAACTTCAGGGTTAATTTAATATTATAAAATAACATTTTAAAATCTGATTTTAAGAAACACACACAATTGTTTCACTTTTTCAAAAACAACTTGGTTTAACATGGAATCTGAATATAACACAAATAGATGTTAAATTCTACACTTTTTGGTTAAAACTAGATTGAGCCCTTCACCTGACCATCTATCAAACATGCCAACATAAAGTCTGCCTTTCTATGGAAAAGAGAATGAAATAGGGACAATATTTGACTTTCAAGAGGCAATATAAATATGATAGAGCAGTAAGTCAAGCATTATGAGAATTTTTACTATCAGCCAAACAGTATGGATCTTTCTCTCGCACTTGTGAACCATTCCAAGGTTTCTGGCTTATTATGGGATTTCAGTGAATGAGCAATGTGCTCCTTCTTCACACACACACACCCTGGTAGGAGAAGGCTTGGTTTCTCAGTATGTCTGAACCCGGGTTTGCGGCTTGCTGCTTCTTAATAAGCCACCATCCATAAGCTAAAAATAAACCATGGCAATTGTCGCTAGTTAGAGAGAAGCAAGTCAAAACCTCCTGATCTGCTTATCTTGCTAATACCAGGAGAGGAGCAAAGCAGGAAGATTGGGCACAGTGTTCTTCAATCTTGGGTGCCCAGATGCTGCAACTCCCATCATCCCTAGGCAGTAGTCTGATAACATCTGGGGATTCAGGAATGAAGAATACTGCACTCAGCATTCATGGGAAGGGCAGAATGCTGGCTTATCCTTGTGCATGAGACACTGAGGGTGCATCTACACTCATGGCTTTTAACGTTAAGGAATGTGTATATGGACTCATGATGTCCTACTTCTAACATTCATAATGTGTTCTTAAAATATGAAATCAGAGGGCGCAGCAGAACAACCAGCAACCAGCAGCAGGGAGATAGCATTTTGACAGAAAAAGCCAAGGTGAAAAATGCTTTAATTAACAAGTATGCCCTGTGACGTTTTAGAACAACGTATCTAATATCGTTCTGATAACGTTAGATCCAGCCTCAGATACTGTTTTGCCCAGTTATTGTTACTGGAGATGGGAAAGCATCACAATCCTTGCCCCCAAAAGAAATTGTGCTCAGCAAGCATTATTGGTGAATGCTTTGAAACCTTTGGATTGTGTGTGTGCCAATAAGCATTCACTAAATACACGTAGGATGTGCAGTTGTATCTTGGCTGTCGAACGGAATCTGTTCTGGAAGTCCAATCGACTTCCGAAAACGTTTAACAACCAAGGTGTGGCTTCTGATCGGAAGCCGCAGAAGCCACGTCGGACGTTCGGGTTCCAAAGAACGTTCACAAACCGGGTTCCGGGTTTGCGCCATTCGGAAGCCAAAACGTTCGAATCGCAAGGTGTTTGGGATCCAAGGTATGACTGTAATTGGCAGACAGTCCTTCACACTCCCACTTTTCACCTCTCACTCACTCGAAAGCAAATAAACCTGTCTTTGGAAAGGGAGAAGGGTAGCAGGCAGCGAAAGACTCTGTTGCACCCAGGAGGCCTCAGCCTCTCTGCCAGCTGGAAAGGAAGCACATAACATCTGTTCCTGGTGAGGATGAAACACATGTCCCATTGTTGCCAGTGACAAATGATACTGAGGATGCCATTTTTTCATCCATGGGATGATAGGTCCATTGTGCCCCATAGGAAATGATGCTTCAACTTACTTTTACCTTCCCTTTTAAGGGAGGTGGGGTTGCTGCAGTTGAAAGGCCCTTTCAAAAAGAATCAAGGTTCTCACCTTGATTTCGCTCTTTTCCACTCAAGCAAGGGCACTCAAATCTTTCTGGAAATTCACGCTCTTTCCCCAGTTGCCACCCTTCCTTCTGTAAAATTCTTGGCACTTCGGCCATAATCAAGCACATCCCCCTCTATGTTGGAGTTTGTCCTTTGTCTTGGAGTAAGGTAACTTGCTTTGTGCCTTGCATGCGAACACAAAACCAAACCAAATTATGCTAATGCAACAGTTAACAACTTTTGCTAAGCAGATACAATCATGTAGTGCCAAAAGCATGCACTATTCATGACAAGAGGTTTTGAATTTTGTTCCTAGGTTGTTTTAAGGCTTTATATAGATGCAAACAATTTTTAAAGAAAAATGTTATTAGAATCAATTAGTATGTATGTTCAGGAAATGCATGGATTACAAAATGAGAAACTTAATTTAAATCAGTTATGTAAATCACTCCCTTTTCTTTTCTTTTCTTTTCTTGATGATTTAAATAACAAATTCAAATGCCTTGATGTAAATTAAACTTACTATGATCAATCTTAAAGTCAAACTAAATGTTAGATTAATTATTTGGTCCTTGATCTCACTTATGACCTGGGCATGAGTGGGTGGGCTGTGGGCTTTAACCCTTTGGTTAATCACTCCACAGTGAGCTTGCCTCTTATGTACATAGCAGGTGCAAGGGGCAATCTGGATCAGGACCTTGGCAGCAGGGGGCAGGGGCAAAGGGTTGAAGTCTCCTATACTCTCCCCCTCCCCATGTTGGGTTCCCAAAGCAAGATCAGCTTGATGGTTATTTCTGAAAGGAAAATATTGTGTTCAAGAGAAAACTGCATGATTAGCATGCAGTTTGATCTTGAGCTCTCGAGTCTTATTGTTGGTCAGGTTAGAGGAACAAACATTTCTGGGTTGGGGATTTAATCATTAGCATATTTATAAACCAAACATATTTTACAGATATAGTTTAACTCTACCAAACTTTCAAATTAATTATTAATATTAACTTTGATTTATTAATTCCCTTCTGAAACCACCATCTCAAGGCTATTCACATCTAAAATAATTTAAAGCAGTTAACATAACAACAACAACAAATACACACTGGCTCAGTCGGTAGAGCATGAGACTCTTAATCTCAGGGCTGTGGGTTTGAGCCCCACGTTGAACAAAAGATTTCTGCATTGCAGGGGGTTGGACTAGCCGCCCAGAGTGGCTGGGGAAACCCAGCCAGATGGGCAGGGTATAAATTATTATTATTATTATTATTATTATTATTATTATTGACTCCCGTGGTACCTTACAAATCTGCAATTCTATGATTCTGTGATTTAAAACAAGACTAAAGCCCTAACAAGTGGACATTCATGGGAAAGACCCATTAATTCAGCTAGGAAAACCTTTTGGAACAAAAACATCTTCAGTTGTTTCTGGAAAGTGCCATGAGCGAATGCTTGTTGTAGGGCAACAGGAATTGCATTCCACAGAACAGGGGCAGCCACGGTAAGAGCCCTACTCTGAGTAACTGTGGAGTGAGCTTCTGAGATCTTTGGCAGTTGCAGGAGAAACTCTCTTGCAAACCACAGTGATCTGTTGGGTGCATAAGGAATAATAAGATGCCCTCTCAAACTTTGATGATGCTTGTTCCTGTTTTTCCAAAAGTGGTCCCACACATCCCAACATTTGTGAATGGGACAGGTTTCACACGATCGCCCACCCGAAGATGCTTAGGTTGCCTCTTTTAACCCTGTACAATTTGAGATCCTTGCAACTAATGGTATCGATATGCAGGTCCAGGGCAATGCATCATAATGTTCAGCCTGGAGGACGTGCAGATGGTAAACTGCTGCACACCCTATCAAATTCATTCGGGAATGTAATTGTGGTTTAATTGTTTCGGTACAAGCAATTTAACTTTTAGATAGGTTATTATTTTATGGCTTACAAAGCAGCTGAACAATAAGGAAAGCCTACTGATTTACAGCACTGTGCTGACCTCAGACATAAAACAAAATTACCCCCCCCTTCTTACAGGTGACTAATTTCTCATTGGCTCTCACTTCCATGCTGTTGTTGCTACTTAGCTACAGAGAAGGAAATATTCTCTTCACCATAGAGAACAAACATTGTCTGCTCTGACCAGGAGAACCATCTCAATAGATATGTGTGTTTTTCCCAGATACCTATTTACATTTAATAATGCCTCTTGCCATCCTTGAAGAATAGGGCCTGAAATGTCAATTTAACCAACAGGGCTGGGTCGTTCTGGGAAAGTATTCTTTGTATTTGTTTAGATTAAGGGTCCGGGATTACAGGGGATAAAGTGCAGCAATGTTATTGTCCGAGAACTGCTGAGCATCAAACCAGCAGGAACTCAGAGGAAGCTGCTTTTTGAGTGGGAACTGCTAGAGCAGGGTTTCCCAAACTTAGGTCTCTAGCTGTTTTGGCACTACAACTCCCATCATCCCTGACCACTGGTCCTGCTAGCCAGGGATGCTGGGAGTTGTAGTCCAAAACAGCTGGAGAACCAAATTTGGGAAACCCTGTGCTAGAGCTTTCCTTTGGATTATTTCCCTGGGCGAGGGATGCAGAACCTGTGGTCCTCTAGAGGTTGATGGACTCCAACAGCATGGCCAGTGATCAGGTATGATAGGAGTTGCAGAGCCACAGGTTCCCACCTCTACCATAGGTGGTAAGTAATTCCTGGGCACAGGAGTGACTCCTAGGTTGTTCTTACCTTTCCTTTCCAGTGAAAACTATTGACCCTGTCCCTCTCCCTAACTCCAACCATTGCAGGGGCTAGGAGAGCACTGGATGCCATAACAGAATTGATACTACACCCTCCAACATTTCATAATGTCTGTAAGGACATGCTAGATTCCGCTTCATCTGGTGTGCTCTATATTTACTGACCCAGAAATGGCCTGTCAACTAATTTGAAAGTCGAGGGAATGTTGGCACTTTGGGATAACGACATACTAGAAAGGCCTGCTTGTCCTTTAGCGTGTTGTGAGTACCTCAAAATATGTCTTAGGATCTGCAGTGTGTGGAATGAAAGGCTTGGAACTGCAGAGTGTGGTCATGTCCATGCATTTACACAGGTGTGCAACAAATATTACTTCAATGCTGCGCAAGGCCTTGATTCAGCCATTCAAATCAAGATGGCTTTTGGGGGCGGGCAGTGGCTGCCTATATCATTCCATGTCAGATTCAAGGTCTTACTGTTAGCATTGAAAGCCCCACACAGGAGACTTCTGGGGTGGCGCCATCGGTAATGGCGGATTCCCTCTGATCCGGAGGGACTGGCTCCACGGGAAACGGGTCTGTTCCGCTACAGCGAAGCGGGGACCCTTTAAAAAATCACAAGCGGATGAAGCCTGTGACCATGGGACTCGGTGGGCACCTTGTGTGCCCCCCCAATTCGTAAAGGAGCCCAATTACGGGCTCCGGAGCGAAGAGGGGTTTGTGGCGCGGTGCTGAGAGTAAACTGCTTCTTCCGTGGAGCGAAGCCGCACAGCCGTTGCCGGAGAGCGCTACCCTTTTCCTGGGACAATTTGGCTACAAAAACAACTACCCGTGAGCAGATCAAATTTGGACAATTGGACTTTAAACAACGATCTGTGAGTAGAACGGAAAATTGGATTAAGAAATTCCTCTTAATTTGGCACTGAAAAGGGAAGGTCTCAACAGGAAGTCAGCCTTCCATTTCTTGTAGATAGATTAAAGCAAAGACATGGCAAACTAGAGTATAGAAAATCGTTTGTAAAGGATCAACTTTCATCATCTAAAATTACTGAACCCCCTTCGGAAGCAGGAGAAGAGGGGGGATTTTTCCGGATTGTTTAAACCTGCAGAAGAGAGTGTAAGAAAAGTAATTTTCCACCGTCTTGAACCTGGGAGCGGGGTGTCAGGACAGACGTTTTTGGGAAGTTCATTGACTATAGACAAATGTTTTTGACAGATAGTTAAAAGAAGAGAAACATAGTGATTCCATTGTCCTCTTTCGCACTTTAAAGGAACAAATATTGACAAAATATCTGAAAAAGGAAACTTTGTTGTTAGATCTGCTGTTATAAAAAAAAAGAAAAGAGTTGGATACAAAGAGAAGTTCTTCCCCTAGAGGGAGCTTGTGAAATTGTTATTAAACTTGAACTGGGGAGCTTCGCAGCTGCAACAGATTAAGACCGTGGGAATAGACTTCTGACCTTGTATAACAATGTACTCAGAGGCTCTGGTGCGTGTTTTCTGCAAAACAAGTACTTTATTGGAACAGTTACATGAGAAGACGGATTTGATGACTGTTGCGATCAGAAATTTTGAACAGGTAGTGGGTACCTATATAGAACCCACTCAGTAATCAATTCAGGAGTGTGCTCTGACAGATCAGATGAAGGAGGAGGTTGTGGCTGCACCCCGGGAGGCAGAGATGTAGGGAACCGTAGCCCAGAAGGAACATGAGTGGTTGGACCTGACGAATGAACCTGGAAAAAGCCAGATTTGGAGAGATAGAGTCTTGATTGGTTTGGAGATGGGGGGCTGGATAGACCCCCCTATGCAGGGATGTTTTGACTTTTCAAGTCTGGCGTTGGGCCAGGAGGATTTTGGAGTTGTGGGGGTCCTCAATTTTGGAGGGACTTTGAAACATGTTTTTAAATACCACATGGAGTTTAGTGTGGACTATGGAAAAGGGGCTGATCTGTCAAGAAGGCACAAAAATACTATCAAGCTGGAGTCTCCATGAGTGAAAGGAGCAGAAGACAAAGTAAAGTACAGGTATAAATATGAAGAAGATCTGCGGAAGGGACATGGAAGAGACTTAAGGGCCTCGGACATAAGGTTACCAGGTTAATGAACTAGATAGATGGGATAGAAAGGACTGACAAAACCCGAGACCAGGAGGAAGAGACGTTGGAGAAGATTGGAGAAAGTTTCAAAAATTTTATTGAGAAATGTTTTCTAAAATTAATGAGTATTAGAAAAATGTTGGAACGAAATTATTTGGCTTTAGCAGAAATGTTAAAAAGAATTATGCAAGAATATGTTATGGTTATGAGAAATTGGTATAGATAAGACTCAAGTTTCAAGTTTTAGGGTTTTTTATAGCAAGATAAGGTTAAAATAGATTAAGGTAATTTAATGACAGAATATTATGAAAAATGGGAAGGATTTGCTGTGATAATCAATAACTAGAATACAAAAAAGGGAGGGGTGAGGAGGTCGATGAAATAAGGTAATGACAGTTAAGGATTTGGGAACACTGGAACTGTTTTTAAACTTTTGTAGTTTATTCTTGTTTTTTAATTTTGATTGATGTGTTATGTGTTTTGTTTTTTGCTTTTTGATTCTGATTTCTATCGACTTGTATTGTTAGATTGTTGTTTGTTTTTTCCTTGTTTGTTTCTTCTTTTTCTCTTTATCTTTCTGTAATCTTAAAATTCTTAATAAATATCATTATAAAATAAAATAAAATGAAAGCCCCACACAGCTTGGGAACAACGTACTGGAGGGACCACTCTGCCTTATATACCCAATCTTTATGTTCAGCCAGAGAGACACCACTAAGGGCGTCACGTGATGCTTGCCTTGCTTCTACAGAAATTGGGTATTTAGTGTGTCTAGGCAGTGGATTAATGGTAAGCAAGCATCCTTAGTATTTATTTTCAAATGGCTGCTTAAAACCCTATTGTTTACACAGGTCCTTTTCTGATGCATCGCTCTATCCATCGATTACTGTGTGTGGCTATCCAGATGTTAAGTACTTTTATGCTCTTCTATGGATGTGTTATGTTCACGTTCTAGCTACTATGTTTATTGTGCTGTATACAGTTCTGTTTTTGTAGGAAAAGAGGTGCCGGAACTCACCATGAACGCCTCCTCCCCTGTTATCTTATAACGGCAATGTCACCTACCTGAGCGGTGCCAGAACTGAGTTCCAGTGAGTTCCGGCTGAAAAAAAGCCCTGGGTGTATATAACCCAATAAAGCAAATATATTAATATATATAAATGAGTGCTGGAATGAGCTCAGGAACTGATGTCAGATCCAGGCCTCAAGGGCCTGCTATTTTGTGGGAGAATTCTTCATGCTTAGCAATATCGTGAACTTGTGCTCAGGAAGACTGTGCAAATGTTGCTCTATAAGTCTTTATCTAGCAGCCAAACAGCTTGCAATTCACACAAAGTCAAGGTGTAGGCCAGAGGTGGGCTTCCAGGCAGCATGAGTCCTGCCAAACTTTTACTCTAGAAAAACACCACCCAGCTTCTTGCCCTTTCCTCCAGAATAGGAAGCCATAGATGACTTGCCACATGATGGCAGTGTGGGGCTGAGTGGGGTGGAGGAGACAACCACCCATTGGCCTCATAGTGCCTGCCTCTTCTTCAGAGTGTGAGCTCCAAGACTTGTGTCTCATTGTGGCGACTAATGACTCACAGCAAGCACGTACGGTGCACAGATTGTCTAGTGCCAGTGAATGCGCATATATACATGCCTGTCTCCTTCTTCCATTGAGAACCTGAAAGCTCCTTGTCATGTTTGTTCAGAAGAGAGAGATGAATAACTTACGTTGGGGGAACTATTACTTCCCATGGAGTTAATTTATCTTGCAGCAAAATTCCATCAGAACTGGGTAATGGCAAAACTCTCATATCTGTCCTTGTAAAATTACTTCAAATAATTGCAATTGCAGAAATCAATGAAAATAATATGTTCCATTATTTCCACAAAGCATGAAGAATAAGCCCTGTGGACAACCTTGCACAGCAGTAGCTTGGCATTCAAAGCGCCATCTCAGACTTTATTATGCCAAATCATCTGTTGTGGCAAAATTCAAACTTCTAAGAGGTTTAGTGTTTTGATCAAGAGCCTATGATTTATTTTGAAAGAATTGATTCACCAGATTTAATATTATATCCTGCAACTGGGCAAACCAGCAAAAAATATTTTTTTTAAAAAAAGCTCCACAACAGTTTAAATGTACAGGAGAGTGTTGTGAATGTTTGTGTGTGCGTGTTGATATAGATATCTACCAAAATATTTTTGGGTTGCTGCCTGGATTTTATTCAATAAAAGTAGGCTATTTTGAGAGAAAGTGATCAATAGTATGCATGCTTGTATCTAACACCACCATACATTTACAGTACTATCTTACCACCTTAAACTGTCATGGCTTCCCCCCAAAGAATCCTGGGAACTGTAGTTTCGAAAGGGTGCTGAGAGTTCTTAGGAGACCTCTTTGCCCTTCACAGAGCTAGACTTCCTAGAGTTCATTGAGCAGAGGGATTCACTGTTAAACTACTCTGAGAATTGTAATTCTGTGAAGAAAACAGGGGTTAACTACTCTCAGTGCCCTAACAAGCTACATTTCCCAGCATTCTGTACAGAAAGTACTGTGCTTTGGATGTATCTTGCATAATGCCATGTGTACTCAGAAATTTACTTGGGTTCAAAGCTTGAGGTGGGTATAGGATTACACCTTTGTCATCAGGCCATTTATCTGAGGCCAAAGTTAGCACTTAGATGTTGTTGCGCTGAAGACTAGACTTTCCCAGCCATTTGGATATAATGAACATGGATTGTGGCATGGTGGGGCAGCCCATAACATAATGCCCACATACATACTCTCTGGAAAGGCTCCATGGCTCCTGAATGTCCTACTTCTACAGGGATCTTTTCAGATGGCATAATAATTGCATATGTGTTGAAGTGGCTGTTTCCCCCTGGCTGATAATGTTGTAATATACCACACCCTGGAGAATAAATATCAGCAGGTGGGAAGTGTTGGTGGGAAGCTACTGCAGGGACTAAATCCAGGTGGAACCTACACACACACACACACACACACACAAAATTCTGAAAATGTATTTTTAAAGCAATTTTTTTAAAAAAAATACATTGAATTTTCCATAAGCTCACCATCGCTATGTAGTGTCACATTGTATATTGCACGTAAAACATTTTATTTGCAGCTGTATAGCCGAGTCCCCAGATTAGGAACACTTTCTGGAATGGGCCCCACAGCATTTCCTTTCCTTCATTTCTTCAGAATAAAAAGGTGACCAGCTTAGGCATGATTTCTAAAATAGTGAGTAGCAAAACATGCAATTTGGTCCTCCAAGCCTTTGTCAAGTATAAGAAGAGAAGAAGAGTCTGTTGTATCAGGCCAATGGCCTATCTGGTCACATACTGCCCAACTTTTTTATGTAAAAAACTGGGATGTGCATCCTTTGGGACACGTTCCTGCATGAGTCACATGACCTGCACCATGATCTTGCTGTGAAAAAAGTACTTTTTCAGGGTAAGAGTGTGGCACAAGAGCGTGGCTCCTAAAATGGCCGCTGCGATTTCTGCGAGAAAGCCTCTCCTACTTGCAGAGGGGAGGAGTTGTGAGCAGGAGCCGTTTCCCGCATTGGCAGGGGGCGTTTCAGCCCCTGCCCAGCCATCCCAGCTGCCGCGCCACGCCCCCAGTTAGCCAACCAACCAGGTGGAGGCTTGGGGCAGGGTTTCGCCGCTCAAACGCGGTCATGGCACTGCTTCCCATCCATTGTGCTGCTGCCTTTCGTTGGATCACCCACCCTTCCTCTAGTTCATTGCTTGGTTCTTGACATTGCTATGGACCTGTGGTTGGTCGCCTTGGTTGGCCAAGGGGCCTGGTAGGAATTTTTATCCAACTGGCAAATTGGCACCGGTTTTTTCACCTACCTGGTAGCAAATTGTCACAACTTTTTGGTATTGGCAGTTAGGCACTGGAATATGTTTGTGTATTGGAGGGCAGGGTGTGGCCATCGCCTACCCCTCCACTTTATGGGTATTCCGGTAAAGGAATCGGTGGTTGTGGATCCTGTCCAACACCCTTGCTAGTGGCTAGGGCCATGACACAACTCCCAGTGACATCAGGGGGAGCTTTCAGTTGTATTTGCATTAACAGGCTCCTCCCACTGGTGGTTAACCCTTGATAGACTCACCCCTTCCTTGTGTGGGTGGAGTCACTTGCTGTGGTTTATCCAGTGCCTAAGCCAATACCTCTCACATGCTGTAATCAATAAAGTTGTGGCCTTTTTGGCCCATTTACCTTATATACCGTGTCCATGTGTCTTTCTTATCCTCAAGCTGGTGGCGGGTCATTGAATCACAAAACAAGATGTTCTGGTTTTCCCCGGGACACTTTCCCCGGGAGTATGAGGTTGAGAATCCTGTTCTCACAGTGGCCAAACAAATGTCTATGGAAAACCCAGAAGCAGAATTTGGGCACAAAGACACACTCCTTTGATCCTAAAGTCTGTGACTCTCAATGAGTGCATGTAAAAAGATTTCCTTTCATATATTGCATTCCATGGGGTGCTAATCCTGGTTGCCTCCTGCTTTTACTATCTTTTAGACAGTAATGTGAGAAGCTGATCCATCCGGTCAGTCTGTTTCTTGATCTTGCCTACTGTTATCTACTATGCTTGACAGCAGCTCCCAGAATTCTTACCCAGAGGTCCTTCCTGAGACCTGCTTCTTTTTAATGGAGAAAGTAGGATAGTTCTGCATACAAAGCACGGACTTTTTCCCATGTGGGGAGTGGACTTCTGCAGCACAGTAGATGAGGTTGTATGATGTGTAAGCTTCTCAGGGCCATCAAAACGATATGTCAGCTCTAGCATCTGCACTTCACATGTATTGGGGTGGCAAAAGGGGTCAATAACATTTCTATGAGAGCCAGTGTGGTGTAGTGGTTAAGAGCGGTAGTCTCGTAATCTGGGGAACCGGGTTGGCGTCTCCGCTCCTCCACATGCAGCTGATGGGTGACCTTGGGCCAGTCACACTTCTCTAAAGACTCTCAGCCGCACTCACCTCACAGAGTGTTTGTTGTGGGGGATGAAGGGAAAGGAGAATGTTAGCCGCTTTGAGACTCCTTCGGGTAGTGATAAAGCGGGATATCAAATCCAAACTCCTCCTCCTCTTCTTCCTCCTCCTCCTCCTCCTCCTCCTCCTCCTCCTCCTCCTCCTTCTTCTTCTTCTTCTTCTTCTTCTTCTTCTTCTATGTCCTTGCTTCCTATATGACTCAGTCAGTAGAGCATGAGACTCTTGATCTCAGGGTTGTGGGTTCAAGCCCCACATTGGGCAAAAGATTCCTGCATTTCAGGAAATTGGACTGGACGACTCTTGTAGCCCCTTCCAGCTCTATGTTTCTGTGTGGAGCACTGCCACCCAGGTGAGACTTTGAGCACTGGAGAATAATAATGTTTGAGTGACATTCAGATGGCACAAATTACAGCCCAGCATGGTCCTGAGGTATGTTGCCTTGGAAGAACAAAGGACCATGATTTATCCCAGGCTGTCAGAGGTTGATTAGCATAAATTCATGATGATAACTTTACTGCACTATAAAAAAAACCCCGTAATCATATAACATTATGAATGCATCACTTAAGCTGGTCAATATAAATGGCTGTAATTTCTTTTCAAAAAATGAATGAGTTATACCATTTCATACACAGGATCAAACAAATATTACTTCATCAAAATTAATGTGGATAATTATATTAAGAAAATGAAGCTGATGTTTTCCCAATTCACATTGATTTCCATTTGACATTTTAATTATTTACTTCATCTCCTATGGGTTTCAACACGGATGGGAGAGAGAACGATGAATCTTTCAGATTGACCCCTCTAGGACCTCAATATAGCAGTAGATGAGATACTGTCAGAGTTCATTTGCACATAATAATATCAGAGTCAATATTTATATAAAACACTTTTTAGTAACACAAGGAGAGATGTAATGAGGATAATAAAATTGAGTTTGGGAAGCACGATGAGTGGTTTATGAGATCAGTTAAATAGAAATTATCTCTCTGCTTTAAGTTAACTCAGGGTAAACAAATTAAGGACAGAAACTTAAGATTTCAAATTAGCTTCTTCAAACCAAAAGGATGGCTTCGACGTTTTTAACATCATGGTTCAGTTTTATTGATATTAGCAAAATGCCAAAATAATTAAATTCTGGATGTATTACCCAAATAGCTTTTATTTTTACTCTGGCCACTGTCCTAAGAACATAAAAAATAATGTAAGAAGAGGCTTGTTGAATCAGACTAAAGGCACATCTAGTCCAGTGTCCTGTTCTCACGGTGGCAAACCAGATAATGGAGGTAATATACAGCCATCGTGACTAATAGCCATTATCCGCCATATTGCCTAGATACATGGTGGCAGAGAAAAGCACATTGGATGCAAAGAGATCCAGTTTTGGGTATCATGAAATACTGTACTGTATAATAAAGATCAGTGTGACGGACTCTGTGTTGAGTTCCAGTGTGTAAATAATCATCTTAACACACTGTTTGAGGACCCAATAGTTGGATTTTTTTTTTAATAAAAAAACCCCTAATTCTCCTCCAGGTTTCCGATTATCGTAAACTGAAGCAAAATGCGGTGGCTTGTGAAGGGAAGATATTGCAAGCAATAATTATGAGGCACTTGGAATCTATTAAATTATCTATAACATAATTTGATTAAATGACTTGTTTTGGCAATTTTACATTTACATTAAATGCATGCATCAATTATGCTTAGTTTTTAAACCACCGAACATAAAGATGTAATTTCCCATTATCGTAATCTGTGATCCTGGCCTCCTTATTTGACACTCTCTGAGAAAAACAACCTCAGGTGCATTTTACCATAATTTTTGTCTATGTTCCATTGACTAGCATGGATAACTAGCTTCAATATGCTAGTCTTTAATTCCTTTCTTCAGTACTATAAGTGGACACAATTCAGCCAAACTTAAACACTTTTACGTTCTATTGATTTTAATAGCAGAGTTACACTCATGCTTAAAAGTCGCCCATTAAAATCAATGAGACTGAAAGCATTTAACCTTAGCTGTATTATACCCACATTTATTTTAATTTCATCAAACTACACTATGTTTACAGGGTTTTTTAAAGTGATTCTCATAAATGTACCCTTTATATTCTACATATACTGGCAAAATAAGAACAATTGCTTCCTCCTCTTCCTCCTCTTCCCTACTTTTTTTGCAGAAATACTTTCCCTAGAACTATTCTAAGCTTTTGTTTCTGCCACCGACATAAATAAATGCTTTTGTGTATTTCAAGTTGCATAGTTGCATAGCTCATTATTAAGAAATTTCATTATCAAGTCAGTTTAAGAGTCAGAGTACCATTTGCCAGTACAGTGCCATACAATTTTGATGGTTCCACACAAACACAAGAATAGCTCACTTATGAAATAGTCATCCCCTTTTCCACTCTTATTCTTTATCATTGTGGTGCTTGGGGTGCTACAATATGATGGTGCTCAGAAGAGGCTATATGCTCAAGTATCGTAGCAAGTGTGGTGATGGTGTCTGTTGAGAGATACCGGTAGTTGCATAAATGGAAATGTCTGCTATGAACACAACACAACACAATCTGTGTGCTAATCTGGTCCACTGCTCTAGTGAGGCAGCCATGTTTACCTCAGTGGAGAAGTTTAAAGATGTGAAGGGTCAGAGGAAGCCCTGGCTCCATCTTCAGGGCTGTCTCCACTGAGGCAGTGGCCTTCGCATGGATGGGATGCCTTTTTCTCCCAGCATCCAGCAGGTCAAACGAACTGCATCAGCCCTGGCCCCGCGAGACACCAGGGTGAAACCACCTCAGCGCCCTTGGCAGAAGTGGCAACTAATTTCAGCCTGCTGCTTCGTGGGGCTGGGGCCAATGCAGCTTGTTCCTTCCTTTCAACACTGCAATGTACCCCCAAATGGTGATACATCACGATGTTGAAAACCTGACATCGCCCAGCCCTAGGGAAAAGATGGTGTAGCTTGGCATCTTGTCATGTGATTTTGGTTTCAAGATGGCGTTGGCGTCTGAGCTGGCGACTGAGGCAGTGAGTTCTGGCACTTTTTTCCTAGACAAAAAGCACTGCCCAGAAGTATCTGCTTGGGAAACTGGTGAGACTAGATGGACCTTTGGTCTGGTCCAGCAGGGGGTCCTCAAGAAATGATGCAAGCAGCTAGGGACTTAAGTGGTCTCAGGATACGCGCTGAAGGCCCATGCTACAGTAACTTTGCTAAACCTAACCTTGCCAATGCCTGGGAGCAGGGCCATGTGGGAACCCCATTTATGTTGCTTTAAGATCCACAGGCTGATGCATATAAATCAGGAACTGGGCTGGCTCCTGTATATTTCATTTTGGTTCTGTGCAACTTGACATATTTCCCAGTTTTGAGTATCAGAAAAAAGTTGGCAGAAAAGAAGTACTGTACCCACTTCGTTGGCTATTTTCCAATAAAAATGTTTGCCTTACATGTGCTCGTTTGCCCATTTCAGCACAATATTGAACTGTCTTAGATGAAAGGCACAGTGCTATTCCATTACCAGTTCTCCAAGCCATCAGGCTTCCCAGCAATCAGTACATTCTGGGGGTTCATGCTGAGTTTTTGAAACTGTTCTCTGCAGGAAATAATTATTTCTCCCCATGTCTTTATCTTTTAAAAGTACACTGAAAAATCTGAAATCAGTGAAATTGGCAAGTGATCAGCATCAGGTCCATTATTCTTAGTACTGTGTTGTGGCGACTGCTGTGGAGGCAGAAAAAATCCTGCAGATATTAAGACCATTGGAAGCGTCTTCCACTGATGGCTATGGTAGCTATGATTGCAGCCTGACATAATCTTTGGAGATGCAATATTTCATCCAGGAAACCAGGGTAGCATTTCTTCAAAGCTGAGATTGGAATAGATGGAATTGCAACAATGACAGAATATCCATTTTCATTTTCAAGTACATTTCTTGCACTTGCGGACAAAAGCTTGCAAGTATGTGGTTTTCATAAAGTTTAAAAAAGTGAAAGAAACAAAAGGTATATTTTAAAGAAGTCTCATTTAGTTTATATAGAAAGCCTGCAACTTACACAGGGGTTAAGTTCCAGGAATTGCACCTAAAGGCAAAATTGCACATAGTCAGAACACACTGGGTGCAATGGTGGAGGTTTGGGGGATTGCCAAAAATATTTTTTGGATGCACACCCCCTTTCTGCCTCCTTTTTAATTTTTGCCAAGTGCATAAACCTGAATGGACCCAAGCTAAATGTGTGTAAGTTGCGGTCTTACTATATACATAGTTTCCAAGTGCCACAATTCTGCTGAGACCACCACAAAAACCAATAAGCCATCACGGTTTCTTCCTGTGCCATGGGGTGTCCCAATTTTAAAATGCTCTTAAAGGGGCCATGAACAAAATTGCAACTAGCTTGCAGCCCCTTTAAGAGTATCCTGGCTCCCAAATTCCCCGCCTTACTCTCCTATACAAATTACTGAGAGAAATGCTCCTCTCTGTTCAGCTTGTTTTCCACAGTTGCCTGCCCACCTGGACCACTCACTGGCACTCTTCCCCCACGATCTCTCTCCCTCCCTCCCATGGCCAGAGGGTTGGGAGGAATCATAAATCCACACTGGCAGGGCCTCCTTGGCTTGGCAGAGGAGCATTGGGCAAGCTATGGAGTGAAACGGTTGCCTGGGAGCTAAAGGGTAAGCAGCTGCCTCTGTGTGGCTCTGCAAAGTTAGGTAGGATTCTCTCTCTCTCTCTCTGTGTGTGTGTCTCTCACTCACCCAATCCAACATATCTATTTGAAAGCAAGCACCATTGAGATCAGTGGGATTTGCTACCAGGTCAAGGTGCATAGTCAGGGAGGAACTAGGCTGGCCACAGAGAAGAGACCTGCATAGGGGTTTGTTCCTCGAGGGAACTGAGCACCAAGGCAAGGATGCCCATCTAGGCATTTGGCTGAATAAGAAGAAGAGTTTGGACTTTCACTCCCCTTAAGGAGTCTCAAAGTGGCTAACAATCTCCTTTTCCCTTCCTCTCCTACAACAAACACTCTGTGAGGCTGGGAGACTTCAGAGAAGTGTGACTAGCCCAAGGTCACCCAGCAGCTGCATGTGGAGGAGCAGGGAAGCGAACCCAGTTCACCAGATTACGAATCCACCTCTCTTAACCATTACACCATGCTGGCAAGTACTGGGTAGGGTTGCCATATTTCAAGAGGTAAAAATCCAGACACAAAAAGTTGTTGAACTTTTTAAAGGCAATTGCCCAATAGCCCCATCACCT